CGGGAGAAATAAATTTGTACAGTCAATCAATTCCGTAACATCCACCTCATCGTCATTTGCTTTCTTAGCAAATGTGTTGTTCTCATTTTTTAAAGTTATCATTAAATTCGTTATTTACAGTTGTTTCTTGGTCGCCCATTTCATTATGAATTTCCACTTCTGTAAATGAGTCATTCGTAACAAAGTCGACTGGAAGTTCATTGGAAGGCTTGTTCATGGCTTTCACTTTCATTTCCTTCCATAATGAAAATAAGCTGGTGTGATCTACTGGTCCTTCCCAAAATGACCCAGAAAGCTCAAACAATTGCAGCATATCAATTGAGATGCATTCTTCTACAACTCTTAGGGTGACTTGAAATTTTGTAGGTTGTCGTTGTTCTTGTATCCTTTGACAGTTTTGTGCTCCCACGTCTTCTTTAAAGTATTTAGAAAATTTAATATTTTCAACATTAAAGGGCACAAGTCCGCAACCCTTGAAACCGCTCTTAACTATATCGGGAATATTTACCATTTTTTGAAAAGTGCTTTCCAAAATAGGTGCAAATGAATCTCTGGTTATCTTTTTACCTTGGTTTTCCATTCTCTACCGATGCACGCTCTTTTTCCATTCACGTTTTAATGGTCGAAAGACTGCAATATCTAGAGGCTTTAAAATATGTGTTGCGTTTGGACACAGAGCTATTAGAATAATATTATTATTACTACAAAATTCACTTAGGGTCATCGTTAAGTGTGATTTGTGTCCGTCCAAAAACAGTATAACCGGAAACTGCACTTTTTGAGCAACTAACCAATGGTGGAATATATTAGCGATGTACTCAAAAAAGTTTTCGCCAGTCATCCACCCATTTTCAGACTTTCCTATCCCCCAGTGAGCCGGTATTTTCTCGATAACTGATTTGGGAATTCTTGTATATTTAAAAACGATCATGGGTGGTAAAATTTGACCGGAGGCACTACAGGTAACCAAAGTTGTCAGACATTCCTTCTCGTCGTTGCTAACAAACGAATAAACTGTTCTATCCCCCTTTCTAACCAACACTTTGTCTCCCTTAGGAGTCAGAAAAAAAACCGATTCGTCACAATTAAATACACGACTAGGATCAAAAGTTATGTTGCGATTGTTTGTACTTTCTAAAAAGGTCCCTACTTCAATAAACCATTGACGAATTCGATTTTCTGTTATAGTGTTTCTAGCACAAGTTAGGATTTGGGAAATTCTTATAGATAGTTCGGGATGCCTTTTTAAAAATAGTTCGTACCATTTACGTCCAGGCCTATCATCCACGAAATTATTAGGCCTATTAAGTTCTTTAAGCAATAGCTGAACACTATCCAACAACTGCGTTTTAGTTGCAGGAAATCCACAGGATGCAATACGAAATAGCCATGCTACCAGTAGGTTTTCTTCTTCTTGTGTAAGTGTGGTCCCAGGTCCAGATTTCTTCTCTAAAGAGGTTCTACCCTTTACTTTGTCCTGTAGAGTCGATCTGGGTACCTTATACAATTTGCTTGCTGCTTTAAATGGAATTCCTGACTGAACAGCTACAACAGATTTGTTGATATCTTCCGCAGAATATTGAATTCGCTTTTTCTTCTCCATTGCTAATTTCTGAATTGTAGTCTAAAACAAAGAATTTCCAATTATCGGCACGTAGAGGTATGTATTATCGGCAGTGTTATACACGGTCAAATTATTGCTATTTGTACTAGAGATACTGGATGCCGAAAATTGGTACAAGGAAACATCGTTTTTTATTACATATAATGACCAAAAATTTGTAGTAGTAAGTTAAAAGATTACGCTAAAATCAGCTTATATACAGTCCAATGCATATAACCAATTATCGGCACTCCAGCCGACGATTGGATCATCTGCTAATATTTACGTACCTATTATCGGCATTCTCAAAATACTGCAAAAAGCTATAGAAAAACAGTTTTTGGCCAACAAATAATCAAAATAAACTATTTCTCAACATATAAAACATAATTAAACTGTTATTCCATATTTTAATCATTACTTATAGCATTCTGTAGCTTACCTGTTTCTTAACACGTACAACAAGAAACACTTTCCACAAGAGTTTGGCGCCAACTGACCAATATATTTTTAAATGTTGTGATTGCAGTTTTCGTCTAACAATTGGCATATTGTTCATAGGCGTAGATAAAGGTCCTTAGAAATTAGTGAAATACTTTCGCCCGACAATCACGCGCAAGAATTCTTATTTTTGTCGATTATGTAGGATTACTGCCGATAATTGGAGCAGTGTCGAAAATAGGAGCGTTTACCTTACATACATGCTACCTAATATACAAAGATATACAAAGTGTATTGGTTAATTTTATTAATTTATATAGGTAATGTCATAATATTGTTAGGTACACTTCTTTAACCCTAGAACGGCACAGTTCGTTCATCCAACGTAGACTACACAGTGGGACAACTCTGATTGGATTTAATTTGTAATATATATATATATATATATATATATATATATATATATATATATGTATATATATATATGTATATATATATATATATATATATATATATATCTGCGGTATGTAGTACAAAACAACAAACAACAATATCTTATTTTCAAAATATGTTTATTAAAAAAAAACATTTCTCATTAGATCACATCTAATGGGAAATGAGAAACGTGAAAAATATAAACTAGTGTTTTATCACACTTTTTTAAAAATATGGAGACATGACATGACCAAAAAAAATAAACAAAATTCCAGTGAAATAAAACTTGTCTCTTCAAAACCCGTTAAACTAAAATAAAACATAAATGTTGTTACAGGATAATTGTTTCTCACTCTTAGCCAGGCACTTCAACTTTGGTTCTGACACACATAACATAATTCAAGCTCGATGTTCTAAACATTACGGTTGGTGACACAATGAACAAGCAGAACTCGATCTTTTCCACGAGGACAAAACCAGCATCTAACCTTTTTAGGCAAACTATCATCAAAATTATCTCTTTGATGTACATTAACTCCTAATATTTCGCTAATTTTTATACGTTAGGGTTGTTGGCAAATTGGTAATTTGTAGTCTTTCATTTAAGTACGGTTCAATTAATGCATTCGAAAGTTCTTTTAAAAATGTTTTTCTATCGTGTTTTCGGTCATTCTTACATTGGGAATTTGCAAGTGAAAATATGACCATAGCATTTTTTCCGCTAGCATCCAACATATTGAAAAACGTTCTGAGAGGCCAGCGTCTAGTTTTACGGGAAATCGTGTAAGAGTGGCACATCTGATCAAAGGTGTCTGTGCTACCCTTTGTTTCATTGTAGGAATGTACAAGGTTTGGTTTTCCGGTGAAGGTATTAAGTGATGAATCAGCCTGCAAAGTGGATAAAAGTTGTACCACTTTATTTTCCTTTGGAGTGTACGAAACGAGTAGCGTTTTATTTCTGTCGAAAGCAAATATGGATGTGCCTACTTCTTTTTTTGTGTAAACTTCGTAGGTATTACCCCTTTATTTTTTCTCAACGTTCCAAGGATTGTTAGCTGATACTGTTTCAACATTTGTTCACTTAGAGGTATTGACGTAAAACAGTTATCCATTGTTATGTTACGGTAAGTACCGTGTATTGGTTGGGAAAGTTTTCTGGCATAATATGTAGTGACTCACTCATTATTCTCAACATCAACATTTCCAACGTTTGGAATGGCACTCAGCATTTAAAATTTCTTCGAATAATTTATCATCATTACTTTCATTTCATATTTATCAGGTTTGCTGGCCATGTAAATTCGGAATGGACATTTTCCACGAAAACTCACGAGCTGCTCATCAATTGTACAGTTCTCATAGGGCGTGTAACACCTATAGCTTGTAATTATTTAAAAAATGTCCCATATTTGGCGAATATGGATAAATTTGTCAACCAAATTCTCTAATTATTTTAGTTTGTAAACGTGTTTATACCTGAATACATATTTAGTTTCTTTTTCTGCTTAGTTTAGTCAATTCAAGTTTAGTCACTTAGTTCTTCTTATTTAATATTTAGTTTCTTCTTCTTGATGTGCCTCCGTTACGAATGTTGGCGATTATCATGGCAATCTTTATCTTATCTGCAGCAGCGCGGTAAAGCTGCACAGATGTTGTATTGAACCAGATTCTGAGGTTCTTTAACCAAGATGTTCTTCTTCTTCCTGGACCTCGCTTTTCAAATATTTTTCCTTGCATGATGGCTTGAAGGAGAGCATATCTGGATTTATTTCGTATAATATGTCCGAAGAATTGTAACTTTCGAGATTTAATGGTGGTCAGTACCTCTCGGTTCTTATTCATTCTTCTGAGGACCTCCTCATTTATGACGCAGTCAGTCCACGGGATCTTAAGTATTCTCCGATATAGCCACATCTTAAATGCTTCCAGTTTTTTGCACATTTCTTCGTTCAAGGTCTACCATTCAACACCATAAAAAAGGACAGAGAAGATGTAGCATCACAGCATTCTTACTTTTGTATCAAAAGAGAGGTTGTGACTCTTGAAGAAGGCTTCCATCCGATTAAAGATGGATCTAGCTTTTGCGATGCGTGCTTTAATCTCCTGGTTGTTGGTCCATTCTTCATTTATTATGGTGCCGAGGTAGTTGTAGTGCGTCACTCTTTCTACAGGAGATTGGTTGACGTAGAGTTGACCTTCTGTTATCCTTTTCTTGCTAATTATCATAAGCTTTGTCTTCTTAACGTTTATATTGAGTCCATATTGTTGACTGTAATACGTGATTTTGAAGAACATGCTAGTGAAAGTGGATTCGAATACTTGGCGCGGTCGGTGTACCGAAAAGGCTAACGTATTAGTTTAAAATATTAAATGAACTTGCAACCTATAACTAGAATACGTTGGTACCTGATCCATAGATCTCTAACGAAAGGTCGTGACGCATAATATACTGGTGTATATATTATATAGTTGAAGATTGTATAATGTATAGCTTGTAGATTGAAATTTTTATATTTGTTTCAGAAAAGCAGCTATGAAGGGTCACTTACTAATCCAGGCATTTTTTCTGTGTGTATTAGCGATATATGTCACAATGGGTCTACAATCAGATCTTTCAAAATACGAGGTTTGAGTGTATACTATTGTAACTAGATTTGTTCTAATTAATTTTCTTATCTTAGACCGAAAACATTCCACTTGCAAGAGCTGAAAGAGCTACTAGAACGACACCAAGGCCAGGTTTTTTTAAAACACTGTTTTCCGTACTTTATGAGGTAAGAATATTTTTAAAACCAAAAAATACATATAATAGGATGGAACGCACTGTAAAAGGAAGAAAATAAAAACAAAAATTAAAGGAAAATATTTTACGGGCGAGCTAAGGTAGCTAAGTGGAAGGGTGTGACACAACCTTCTCTTATCTATATCTTATCACTGTCGTTGGTCCGGCTAGCGTTTCTCTTCTTCTTCTTTGTTTTTAATTACTGTTCGAGTGTAATTATGTACAATATTCCATCCCTCCTTACTTCCCGCCATCTTTATAATATCTCTCTTACAATAACAGGGTTCATACCTATATCTCTGTATACTCTGCTTCTCTCGACTGTCCATCTATTACACTCCAGCACTGTGTATGTAATAGTGTCAGGGTATTCACAGTATAGACTATATATATTTTATTTATCTGTATCTGTCTTTCTGAATGTATGTCCTAAAATACCCATGTCGTGTGTTCATTTGCTTCAGGAAGTAATGTAGTCACCTCTGACCACAGTCCACCCAGTCCTTTAGGCTTGGGATCAGCATCTTAGTCCACTGAGCAACATCTTCCGTGTTGTTCCACTCTGCATACTTTCTATTAATCTTTATCCCCACATATTGGTGTAGTGTCACTCCATGATATTTGACGCATTTCTTTGATGTTAGTTGTACATAGACAGTAAATATGTAAAACCCCATTTTAATTATATACAGACCTTTCTTACAGGTGAAGAAGATAAATACAGAGAGCTTGAGTCAAAAACATTACTTTCCGTTATTTTTTGAACTACTTGAGCACCTTCTATGTTTCTTATTTTAATGATCAATAGTGTGAATGTTCGCGTTAGCTTAACTACTTTTCTGTCTGATTCTCCATTTAATTAACTGTCAAAAGTATTTTTTATATCGCTTTTTGACATTCTTTTCGTAAACTAGTTTTTAATTGTTGTCGTCTTGCCTATATCTAACCTGATTTAACCCCTTTGCTCTCTTTGCTTCATATTTGGTTATTTTATGTATCTTTGCTTCCCCTTCCCTGCTATCCAGTTGATCGTACAGATTTGTATAGGTACGCTTCTGCTTTAGCCTTTACTACTGCTGCTTTCGCTTTCTTTTTTTGGCGACCCAATAGTTATAAAAACCTGTGTCCGATATATTTTCCTGCCACTGTTTATACCGTTTTATCTTCTGCTTTATTTTTTTTAACTTAACTTAACGTTTGACTGCCACCAGATGTCTTTTCCTGAAACTTATTCTTGATAAGGTTTTAAAAATAACCTGTATCTATTTTCAAATAAATCTATGAAATTAGTATGAAAAGATGAAAAATTTTACTTAAAACTTTAATGTGTGATCACTTTCCCAATTATTTTATAGAAAATTATTTAAATTATTATTTTTTCAGCAATGGGATGACACAAGAAAGACCTCGGCAACAGTTAGCAAAGCGGTTAACGATAATTTCCTTCCAGAATCTTCCGGGGTAAGGTATTTGAATAAATAATTTCCTACATGATTTAGATGTCGAATGATTTTCATGTATACAATTTGAATTTAATATGTACCTATATGAATATCATCCCTTTAATTATAAATATAGGAATTAATATGAATTCAAGAAATAATAAAAATGCAAAAAAATTATTTCAATGAAAAAATAAAAAAAAAACAATTGAAGAACGTTAAAATTAATCAATATAATAGTTACTTCCGGTATAAACGGAAGTGGTAGAAGGTTCAAATTATTTTAAATTTAAAATGTAGGTAAAAAAATGTGTTATTTTTTTCAAATATTTTTATATTTGGATGCATGGTGTTTAATAAAAAATTTATAAATCACTTTGTACTACTCACAATATTTTCATTTGTATTTAATTTTGTGAAAATTTGTAAATTCTTTGAAAACTGTCTATGAAAGTAGATAGTCTAATACTTACCATAAAATAACTTGTATGCAGTATCGATGAGTAGAGCAGAGATTCAATATTCAGCACTTACTTTCCTCTCGTATATTCATAACTAAAATGTGTATTAAAATCTCAAAACCGTGATACTATAATAACAAGATAGGATCTTCCCGTAGCACAAAATAGGTCGTGTTTGCGCATGCCATCATTGGAGAGTAGAATTTAAATTCTTGTTAAAGTTGACAGCTGTCAAATTTGTTTGGTTAGATCATGGACGTATAAACACAGATGGACTCAGTTATTTACATAAAATTGTGTAGTCAAAATTATTTGAGTAGGTCACATTCTCACTACCTTCAACTGTCGTCACGTTTTGTTTTAAAATTTCTTATTCGCGAGTCGCTGAAAATATTACTCCGTATTTTATACTCTACAGGTGCTATCAAACAAAAATAATAATTTATTGGTTATATTAATATATTTAATTGTAATCAAAATATCAAGTGTGCACATAGTGTGCATTATCATTTAATAATAGCGTATAATAGATATCAATCAATTATTTTATATGTAGAAGCACTGAAAACTATTTATAAATGGCAACGGTTGTTTACATTTCTCTGTCTTATGGATCTACGTCAAACTTCAAATGCTGTTCCATGTTTGTTTACTTTTTACATAAGATGAGGAAAAGGTGTTTTTCGATATTTTGGCTGTATTTTGAGTGATATTTGTGAAAAGTGAAAAAAAAAATAAACGAAATATTTACATCCCGATCTCTCATTTCATTTGTAAGTACATACAATTTACATTATTTAAGATGAGGAAATGAGGAAGCGTGTTTGTTTACATTTTAATAGGCGTCCCATTGGGTTTATTCATGTTCATTAATGTATTGAATAAGATATGAGTTCATGAAATTAGTAGACATTTTTAAATTGTAAGTAGACATCATCTGATTAAAAAAGATCTGTTTAGTACCTTTTTAATTTAATATGTTTCATGGATACAAATAAATTAGTGAAATGAATAAAACTCATTTATTTTTCTATGTGGGTTTCCAAATAATATTGACGATCGAACTATTTGGGTAGCAAATTTAATAGAAAACATAAAGATTTTTTATTGAAGCATTATTTTTATACCTATTAAAAATTAACTTGAATTCAACTATATTTAATTGTATTAATTTTAAAGCAAATACAATTGTTTTTAAATTTGTTTATAAAGACGTGATTTGTTAATAGTTAAACTCTTGTTTTTTTAAATTCTTTGACCGTGTTTTTATACATCATTACTACTTCCAATTTTTAAAATCTGAATAATTACCCGCGAGTAAAAATTCAAGCACGCTTATGATCATTGCGGAAGCATCACATTCTATCGAAGCTTTAAAACATTGTGTGTTAAAGGTATCTTATTGCCGTGTCCATCTATGTTTATACGTCCATGGGTTAGATGATTTGTTGAGAGAATATTACTTCCTGCTTGGGGGACAAGAATCGGCCAGAAATGCTAGTTTTTGAAATTTTCTTTTGGCCAGCTGTTTATGTAAAATACAACTTTGTGTCGCCTATGGATCGTAGAATGATTTAAGAAAGTACTGTTGAACAAGTTGGCTACTTCACTATAAGATCTTTTTCTATCGCCGTAGCCTCTCATCAGTAAAACACTAATTCGCTCTTTTTCATTAAAAACCATCTTTATTGTAGAGCTTTTAAAAACACATAAAACAACTGTCAGCTTTAGTTAAAAATAAAATTTATTTTGCAAAATTTTCAATAAACGTCAAGCTATTGTTAGTTTTATAAATTAATGTCAAAATCACAGCTATTACTTCAAAACTATTTAGAACTTAGAAGTTTTATTTACTTAGTTCTTCTTCTAGAAAAATGGTGCTACAACACCTCCTACCGTTGTTAATGGAACTACAACAGAAGAAACACGAATAACAAGGACAGAATTACAAAAAATTTTACTCCGAAATCTAAGAGGAATACAGAAATTGTTTCAGGTGGAATTAAACGATGCATTAAAAGTAAGTTAATAGGTACAGTGCGTTAAGTTTTTGATTAGGTATTGCACACTATACGGAGCGCTAAAATCGGCAACGTTGCAAATGTTCGTTCTCCGACCCGAGACTATCTGCACCGACAGAAAATCATTTTAGTTTAGTAACTCACAACAACGTTTGGGATGTACTTCTCTGTCGTCCGATCTCATGTTTCATTACGTATAGCCCATTTTAATAGTAGGAAATTCGATAAAAATGCACTGACCTAATCGGTGCATTGTTATCGATTTTTATTAATGTGAAAATTTTTTTGTGGTTTAATTAAAAATAAAAGCGTATTTCTTTAAAAAGATAAAATAAAAAATATACTCTTATTGAAAATTAAAATATTATTCCTAATAAAATAAAAAATAATTCTTTATGACCTACAGAAATGGTTCAAATAGTTGACCTTCTACGGCTGAACAGTACCCCAATCTGTAATAAAAACTTCTGCGAACAGATGAAAGAGTTTCTGCTGTAACAGAATTGGAGACTTCTCTTATTCGATTTTTTAATTCATCCAAATTTTGGGCTGTAGCCTCAGGATTATCGTAGATAATGCTTTTTAAATGTCTCCAAAAAAAAAGTCCATGGGTGTAAGATCTGGAGATCGCGCAGGCCACTTAATATCGCCTGTTCCACTGATAACTCGATTCGGGAAAGTATTGTTTAAATACTCCCTAATAATTCGAGCGTTGTGAACTGAACAGCCGTCTTGATAAAACCAAACATTCTCCAGATTTACATCAGGAAGATTGAGAATAGCGGGAAGAACATGATTCTGTAACAAATCGAGGTATACTCTACTATTCAATTTGCCCTCAATAAAAAATGGACCTATTATGTGGTCTCCTAAAATGCCAGTCCAGACGTTAACTTTTTGGGGACGTTGAGTTAGGTAAACAACACTTCTGTGCTGGTTTTCCCGCGCCCAATACCTCGTAATGGAGGGATTGTGTCTCCCTACTAACGAAACAGAAGATTCATCAGTGAATCAAATGTTTTTAATAAAATTTGGTTCACTATTAGCCTTCGTTATTAGAGCTTCACAAAACTCCATTCTTCGAAAGTAATCGTCTGGATAAAGCTGCTGCGTTTTCGAATATTTAAAATTCTTGTAACCGTGCTTTTTCCATACTTTCGTTACAGTAACATTGCTAACATCTAACTCTCTAGCAACGCTTCTACTTGAACGTGTTGAATCTACCTCGATTGTTGCACAAATTTGTGTATCCCGGTATTCTCTTCCCTCAACTTTTTCTGGTAACACTTCTTGAGCGTGACATTTTCTGCAATTTTTGAGGCAATAACAACTCTCAAAATTTTTAACAATATTATAAATTGACTGTACACAAGGAATTGGTCTTACCTCAAAAAACACAGAAAATAAATCTACACACTGTTGCGCAGAATTGCCACTATAAAACCATTTTATTATTTGAGCTTTTTCCGCGGTCATATAAACAGACATGTTTACAAAAATAAATTAAAACTCTACGCTGTTATACCTTTAAACAACCACGGTATAATGACAATATGACAAATTTGCCGACGGGCGACGAGCAACGACGAGTCAACAAAGCAGATATGTAGTGGCAAGTCGACGACGCGCAGTGTTGCCATTTATAGAGTGTATACCTAATCCAAAACTTAACGCACTGTATAATATAATAAATAAACCACTTACTAAAATATTAACCATAATTTATTAATTTAAATAGTAACCCAAAAATTGTAAGCTTTCATAGTCAGCATCTTGTAATGATATATAACCTTCTGAACTTCGTTCTCTTCGAACACCGTGGTCTGAAATTATATATTTGGTCATCGTCAGTACGGTGCAGATACGTTAAAAAGGAGTGTGATGAATACTGTCAGAAAAGTATTAGTTTCCTTAAAATCTGGGGAAGAATATATAGGTACAGCGTGAGTTATAACGATTGGTCATAGCCTAGAATTTAGTTAAGGACCAAAAAATTAACAATTTGAAGGATATTGGACAGCAATGGACTGAGGCAGAGAAATGTGAGGGGTCCGTCTTATTGAGTTATGTGTAGAGCACTATATTGCAATTACAAACACGTTTTATCACCACCACCCACGAAGATTGTACACATGTCGTAGCCTACATGGACGAAAAGGAAATCAAATATCCTAATAAGGTCAAGATGAAAATCCTCCGTCATCAACTCTTAATATACCTGAGCACAGATTGTGGAAGCTACCATCAATTCGTAGTATTAAACGTCCAACTTCGTTTTAAAGTTCTTAAAAGGAGACCCCTAAAAAAATCTTGTCGCTAAACTCGAAAATCAGTCAGTTCCAACAAGACTAAGAAGCAAAGATTTCTTTAGAACAGTAGATAGTGATCCTTAAAACACTTAAACACTTAAAATAACTATTTACTGGGACTGCGAACCAAGAACTGCTATTTCGTTTCGTTGGCTACTTCCATGATGCTCGCCTCAGCATAGAGAAAAGTAATCTAACGCCATTATAGAAACTTCGCTTCAAAAGCACAATAACAGTAGATTAGAATCACTTGCTTAGGCAAATTAAAGTAATTTCAGTAGCTAATCATTTCATCAATTCTTTATTTTATGGAATACTGAAATTTTATAATTAATCCATGTTTTTTTTTTATTTTTAGGAATCAAAACAGACTTACCAAGAATTTAACAAAAATGTATCAAGAGAAATACAAAAATTCCTTTAGAGAAGCTAGATTAAGAAGTCTGGTATTGTGGTGATAGATTTTAGTCAATATTTTATAAAACAAATTGTACATACCAAATAATAACTAATTAAAGTTACAAATATACAAATATTTCCATAAAAAGTTTTTCCACAAATATAAATTTTAACCTATGACATTTAATATTAAACATAGGCCTTGATTTCCTTAACAAAATACATCTCATCGAATGAAGTTTTACAACACATTTGTATTCATTTTTCTCTTCTCTATATCTTTTTGCCATCGGGATTTCCGGGGTCGTCTTCTAAGTCCTCAGATCACTTCGCTAGTAGACTGTTCACTATTCACTGCACTACTGTTGCTAGTAGTCGGTGACGGTTCATTTATACTGTCGATAGCGACGTAGTGCGCCGACGAAGATTCTTGATGGCGGGTACCAGATTTTTTAGAAAAACGCTTATGTATGATAATTGTTTGAGTCTGTGGATTGAGATTGAGCTGGATAAGCCGTTGAGATTGATGTAATTTTCGCAGTAACCAGTTTGGATGAGGGATTGTTTTAATAAAGAGAACTCAACAGAGTTACTTGCATCGTCGCAAAGGAGTATTAATCTGGAGACATGGGTAGAGATGGGTGATAAGATTTGGCATGCAAGTAGCGATTGGTATGGGTGGATTCTCCTCGGTAAACAGAGTGATGAAAACCTTGGAATTGGTTTTTCCTTATGGGAACGTCGAGAAACGGTAGGGATAAATCAATTTCCACCTCCATCGTGAACTGGATGTATACCATTCAGACGGGCTTGAAAAGATACCAAAGCATCCCTGTCATGTGCCTAATGACGAATGTATCGTCAACATATCGTAGCCAACATGTGTGTTTAAGCAATGATATGAATAGTGCTCAGATCTCGTAGTTTTCTATTAAGATATTGGCAATTACTGGACAGTGGGTAGTTGATTGCGGCACCATTTATTTGTCTGCAGAATTGATTTTCTAAGATGAAGTAAGTGTTGGACTAACAAATTTTTAACTAGAGTTAAGTGGTCTTGCTGAATACTATATTTAATTTTTAGAATGTTTATGGTTTTGTCCATAGGAATGTTTGTAAAAAGTGAAACGATGTCGAAACTTACTAAAATGTCTTAGGGTGAGATAGGGTATTGTTTAAGAAGTTCAATAAAATAAAAATAATTTTTGACGAAAAGAGGAACATTTGACATTTTCGGCGAGAAGCTGGAGAATTTTTACCAAGTATATCTAATTAATCGTTGAGAATAAAATTTGCTAATATTTTAGATGTCTACCATTTTGGGTAAAAATTAGAAATTTGGAACGAAATAATTGTGGGATACATTGAACACGCTTTATATTAATGTTACGTGTTTAAATAAAACCAGCCGTTTTAATTTATATAAATCTATAATAAATACTAAAAGTATTTTTCCAGAATTATCTGGAGTGGTCCACCTCTATTCCTGCTTGCATAAACGTCTCATCTGTACTACGGTCGCTACATCTCGAATATTCTGGTGCATGTGCATCGTTCGCAGAGATGCAACCGTTATTTATGGGGTGCGTTATTTCGTTACAAGAAGAGATAATGTTGGACCTTTTGCCAACAGTGTAAATCTCCAACATATCATAATCTAACATCAGTTTACTGGAAAAAATGCTATTGCAGTTAAACTCTTAATTTCACCCAACATATTAAAGATGGGTTTGAACGAAAAGAAATAACACGAGTAGCGTTCATAGACCTGACTACCGCCTATAACACAGTTAACCATCAACGGCTGCTGGTAAAACTCTACGCATTTACAAAGGATTTTCGACTAACAAGGTTAATACAATGTCTTCTCCAGAATAGACGCTTCTACGTAACGCTCTAGTCCAAGAACAGTCGGTGAAGGGATAAAAAAAATGGACTGCTACAGGGAAGTGTACTCGCGCCATTGCTATACAACATTTACACCAACGACCAACCCAAAAACCAACAAACAAGACAGTTTATTAACGCGGATGGTACGGCTGTGGCAGCTCAGGGAAGTACCTTCAATGAAGTCGAAGTAAAACTGACAGATGCCCTAGAAGACTTAGCACTATACTATGACGAAAACCATCTGAAACCCAATCCTACAAAAACCCATGTGTGTGCTTTCCACCTTAGAAACAAGCATGTCCGAAGAACACTGGAGTTGGAATGGCGTGGTCAGATGCTGGAACACAATAAGACGCCAAAATACCTCGACGTACGTCTGGATAGAACTTTGTCTTGTCGATATCACTGTCAAGATATCAAGAAAAAAGTAAGCGCCAGAAATAATATCATCCGAAAACTAACAAACACAAAATTGAGAGCACAACCACACACTCTCCGTATTTCTGCCTTAGCAATTTGTTTTTCTGTCGCCGAGGTTGGAGCACCAGTGTGGTAAAACTCTGCTCACGCTAAAAACGTTGATGTTGCGATAAATTAAACGGTTCACATATGTGGTTGGCTGAAACCGACACCTATCGAAGAGGTCTACCCTATAGTTGGAATTGCTCCACCTGCTATCAGAAGGTAGGTCACGTCAGAGATAGAACGAAATAAGCAGGAGATGGATCGGAGACACCCCTCGTTGTATGACCAGCAAGCTCAGCCAAGTTGGTTAAGATCCCGTAAAAGCTTTTTGACAAAATCACGATCCCTTCCCGAAGAACCAAAGACGCGCGAATACACCTATGGCAAGCGTCAGCTACAACACTTTTTGCTCCCTCAAAGGAAATGGCCGCTGGACACAATTTGCCATATGTATCCCACATGGAAAGCTCTAAACAGACTAAGAACTGGCGTTTCACGTTGTGCTAGTAACCTGAAGAAATGGGGATACCAGGAGAACGACACCTGCGACTGAGACGCGTTTCAGAATAGTCACTATCTACTATCATGCACAGAGACCTGCACAGAAGAAAACCTATTTTTAGCGAATGACAGGGCCATCTATGTGGCCAACCATTATAAACACAAAATTTAGACCTGTTACAGTGGTATTCATGGTTGTTCACCAGAAACAGTCGCCGGCGGCTCTTCAGTTAGCAAACACTCCAACGAGATTTCATCCCCTGTTTCATAGTAAATCCTCGGAGAACCGCTAGTGGGCGATCGGTTACTTACTACTCGATACGAAAACGTAGACGTATTTGATGACACAAGGATCTACAGACCGAGAGTGTCTTATAAAATCCACGGCTTCGCGCAATCGTACTTATGAACTAGTCGACTGGAGTTACAATTTGTCAAATTTAAATGTAATCGTTTCTACTCATTCATATTAATATTATAATGTATAATATATTAAAGTTTTTAATATTGGTAATATTATTAAAGCTTTTAATATTGTTTTTTAATATTAATAATAATATTAAGTAATTAAATATTGCGCCTTGCTTAAAAAAAAGTACGAGATAAATAACTCGTTTTTTTATATGAAAGTGCATTTTTCTTGCAAATGCTTGGTTTTTTTATAAGATAATACAAATTGTATGAAGAGTAGCTAAGCGTTGGGTATCGTCACTGGCGAATCTATGAGGAGGGAAAAAGGATCGATCTTCATAATTTGCCAATACTTGACTGAACATACAACCAAGAGAGAATGGAATGTTGTCAGACCATTAACAATATTGAAATATAACCAGTACGTGACAAAAAACGATGTAGAATATGTTGTATGGATAAAATTGGAAAAAACACAATTTACGAGTGTGCTGATTGTGACAAAAAAAAACCCAGACTATGCATAGGATATTGTTTCCTCAAATACCATTCAACCAACATATAGATTGCATTCAGTATATTAGTTTAAATAAAAATTTTATTTTCTAAAGACCTTTTAATTGTTAGCTGATGTCCCACTAACAATTTCTAATTTGACAATATTTATATATTGAAAACTTTCACAAATGTTAGAGATAATAAATTGAAATCCTTTAACAAAAGACTATAGCTATAATTTGAATAAGCTGGTTTTGCCGATTTGACTTTCTTATTACGAATTAGCATATTAGGCAGGTATTTTACATAGTCACAATTCTCTTAAAGATTTTTGTTTCATTGAAAACTGAACCTGATATTAATTTCTTGAAAATCTTTACGTATGCTAAGGGTAATAAATTAAAATCCTTCAATACAAGACTATATAGGTAGGTACCTGTAATTTGAATAAGCTGATTTTTTGCCCATACTGACGTTCTAATTACCTACTAATTTGTTGCATAACAGTCAGATATTGTACCTGATTACAATGCTGTTTAATATTAGGATTTTCATTTCGCTTGTTGAAACTCCAGCCGATATTAATTTCTTGAAAATTTTTATAAGGCTGAGAGTAGATCTCGGTCTGTAGATCCTTGTTATTTGATGTTTGTCTGTTGTATTGTGTTTAGGCTGCCGAACAGAAAGCATTTTATTGTAATATCCTTGCCCATGAGTGCAAGTGAAAGGTTAATATTTTTTAAAAGTAAATTTACTTTATATTTTATTATTATTATATATTATATTTTATTTTAAAATGAGTGCTATTGTTGCGTATACAAGTGAGGACAAAGAAATTTTAAAGAAGTATCCGATAATTGAGAATAAAAATACGGATGCTACCACCATAATGAAAAAATCGGAAGCTTGGAATGCAGTTATGAATGATTATGCTAATGAATTATAATGATGACATAATGCTAATGAATTATAATGACTAATTTATCCTACCTGCAAAATTCCAGTAGCATAAAATCTCAAGGCAACTAAAAGACAAAATGTGTGGAAACGGTAATCCACGTCGATTAATTTTCACCATTTCATCATATATTACTGGCAACATTATTTCAATAACTGTTTGTTTTCGAAATCTATACCTTCATTCATTATCATTATAAAAGTGTAGTGGATTTTGCATGTCCCTTATATATCTTCTGGGTACTTGTTAATATATCGTTTTGTTCATTTATTTCTCGGTTAATATTGATGTAAATCGTCCATTGCAAGCGTATTTCAAATTGACGGGCGAACCGCCAGAGCGTGCATATACCTTCTCTGGCGAACCTTCGAAAATCTCTAAACAGGGCATGCGTCATACGCGACTGGTGCGTATCCAG